AAATTTTCGGCAAAAGTTTTCTGTAAATATAATTATGCTTGAGCACTATTACGATCACTTGCTAATCACATTGAGATGAGCGACCTTAGTATTGATTGTTATTGATGTGTTACAATCCATCCGTTAGGCTCATGAATGATTAGTTGTATTTATCATTTAAATCAAGGTATCGATTATTTGTTTTAAAAGCTTCTAGCATTAAAAATAAAATAGTAATTTTTTTTTGGATCGGGTAGAAAATTCATAATTTATTATGTTATGTAATTAATTAATGCTTGAGCGACCTATATCAATAGTAATTTTTTGAAGGAAAAAGCATGGGTTGTATCTCGCTAATTGGTTCATCGAAATAGTATCCCACTTGGTTAATTTATTCATTTTCCGATCCATTGAGTGAGGTGTTTCTCGGTTTAGAATCGGTTTTATTGTTCATCTGTTAAAATCGGTTTTAGTGGGCAAGAATGTGGAAATACCAAAAATAGGTATGGATTTGGTATAGATTTAAAATTTTGGACTTGGCCAAAGTTTAAAGTTTAGGAGTTGGATTTTTTCTTTTTACTGAGATTGATTGTGTATTTGAAATTTTGCAATTTGAACGGCAGTTATAGTAATATCCCATGACTGGTATAAGTAAACGGGAATATTTTATTTGTGTGCATAAAGATACACATCATCGTTAATTATGCAAGATTGTAATCAGAATAAGTCAAGGAAGTTTAAACCCATAATATAAATAATTAAAAAGTACAGACTTAAACATGCTCTACAATTATGCAAAATGAAAGATAATTTAACCACCTTTTTTTTCTAATTCAGTATTTGCAATGGAGTGAATTTGGACATATAAAATTTTACTTGGACAAATTTGGACAAATTTGGACAAATAGAATTTTATATCTGTATCCAAATGAAATTTTTATTGGACACTATCCACACGCTCTGTTTGGGTAGTTTTAATAAGCCTTCGCCGTTTAACATCCCAATTATAAACACGCGCAATATCTGTAAAAGAATTGAAAATTAAGGAATAACAATAATACTGCAAAAACTAGATAAATACTTTCTATCCAAATTTTTTATATGCAATAGGATACTAACTTCCATTGTGGTAATCTGTTCTCTCATAAATTCTAAATCTTCTACCACGTAATTAAGTGTATTCTGAGCTGTTGACAGTTTGGTTTCAAGAAGTTCTTTGGCTTCTTGTAATTCATATTCCAGCATTACATTTGCCTGTAAAACAAGCATTAACAAGTGCTAAGATATGTTTGGAAATTATGGTTGCACGCTAGATTTTTAGAATTTACCCCAAGCCATAAGTAGACTGTTTTTGTCGATTTAATTTTAGCAGCTGCCCATAATGTATCATTCAGTTCGAAAGTAGTTTCTATCGATTCATTTGAATCCTATTAAATAAATTAATTTTAAAATAAATTATAATATAATATCCATAACTATACTATTTAATTCATTATTATTACCTGCATTGATATCAAATATTCCACGACTGTTAAAGTTTTTTTAATTTCAGGTATTTTTGATTCAAGAGCTTTCTTCCGGTTAATATAATTGATTTCCATAAATTTGTACTTGCTAAATTAATTACAAGAAATAGACAAATAGTTGACGAAACCCCTTAAAGCAACTAAATAATCTTGACACAATATACCTTGATAAAGAAAATGGAATGCTCACGCTACAGTTTCTTGAAATTTACCCAACGTGGCCTCAATAGTTGAAGATGGTTTAGACATAAATTCTTCAACATTTTCCTGTTTTTAAAATTAAAAAAGAATTCATAATTATTTCGAATCAAGCAATAATAACCTTAAAAAGAAACGCGCAAAATAGTAATTTTTAAACGCGAATTTGTTAAGAAATATGTTAATACTATACAACAAATTGAACTTTTGGGATTCCTCTAGGATTTGACACCACTTCTTCCGAGGAATCGCTGCTAGATTTCTCTTTTTGGCGCGTCGACATTTAAATTTTTTTAATGGTAGAAAAAAGATGCAGTAGCAATAGGGGATATCCAGATTAATAAAGATCGACATATCACGAGATACACGTGCGATGTATGAAATTGGTTCAATATCTGATATTTTTTAATATATAGATAGCGATAGATAACTTTTAAATTCATTATCTTACATCTAAAAGATAAAAAATGAGACCGAAACGAACAAAACAATATAAACGTCTTATGGCGTTATATTCAAATTCGTTTGGTTTTAGAGAACCTTATCAAATTTTAGGTATCTAACGCTTTATACATTAAATATTCATCAATAAACTATTTGGACTATAATTCTTACGACTTTTTGAAAAGTGGACTGGAATTTTATGCAAACCGCTACACGCTACAAAATGGATATATGCAAACAACTTTGTATGGTGTTACTTGGAAATACAAAGCAAAGTATGCATTGGCATATTTTTAATTCTTATAAAAAAAATTGATATGTATTTAATACCTTTTTTTTGCATTTTGATTAGTGTATACTTCCTGTACTCTAGCAGAAGTAAAAAAGCAAGGCAAGGAAGGCCTAGAGACAGAACTTGCCTTAAAACAATTTGAAAGACGAAGATGTCCACATAGAAAGCCGGTTTCCAGTGCAGAATGTTTGGCTTCAATCATAGGTATTAATATAATTAGTTCCCTTGGTACCCTCATCTTTGCGAGAAGTTAATTTAATGTTTTCACGAAAAAAAAAAAAATAGGGAATGATAACCCTCATAATTATTGTGTGGCAACGCAGAATGAAACGCTCCGTCAACAATTTCGCGTTATTGCTGGCGTTCCTCTGCTATATATTAATAGAACAGTATTAATTGTTGAGCCACCGTCGGGTGTTACATTGGAAAAAGCCAGAAATGTAATTGCCAACTTTTTCCATAATATTGTCAGCCATTTATTTTCATTATTTAATAAATCTTTTTGCTCTCATTAAAAATAGAAAGAGATTGCAAAAACTCATGCACCAGTTGAAGAATTAAGTTTTTTGAAAAACGCAAATTCTGATACACAAAAAAAGGATGATGAATCTCCGAAACCAAAAAAGATTCGTAAAGGACCTAAACAACCTAATTCCTTGAGCTGTAAAAAGAAAAAGAAAAAACCTTTGCCACCATCCTCCAAAACACAAATTAATAAAAAGGAATCATGTAGTGATGATTTCGTAGAATATAAGGTATAATGAAGATACTTTTATAAATAGAATTTATCAATTCATATTTTATATTTAACACACTCTTTCTATTAGGAGTTGGCTGATAAAAAACGAAAGCATTCAATTGATATTGAAGAGGATAATGAGCATGATGACGAAGACAGCACTACATCAAATCAGTCAAAACAATACGAAGAAAATTCAGTAAAGAAAAAAAAGAGAAAACGAAGAAGAAAGTCAAAAAAAGAGTAATACGAAAAGATCGTATCATAACTTTGATAGTAATTTAATCCTTTAGATAATTATGTATATAAATAAGAAAAAAAAAATTGAGAAATATAAAAATATAAAGACAATCTAAACCAATTCCTGATACATTTATCATCATGTTTATATGTGATATTTATGATAATGACAAAATAATCCGCCTTTTTTTTTTTTTTTTTTTAACTTCTCCGTGTTATAACTAGCAATCGGAACGCTGTTGGCGTATTTTTATTATCATTAATTAATAAATAGCTCGACTATTTATAATATAGATATTTACAAATTTTTTTACTTAGTCGGTTGATTGAGGAATTGCGGCTTAGTGCCTTGATCTCTCTTGCAACCCTACTACTTATGATTGCCGGAATGGTTGTCTCCGGTCTGTCGTAATCCGCCTTTTTTGAAAATTGTATCGATCTAAGAAATAAATATCGCTGAACTTGACTGAAGTTGAAATTAACCAATTAAATGCGGTAATTTCAGTATCATTCAAATTTCAGCATCAACTGTCGATATTTTAAGACTTTTTTTAAAACAATAATATATAAAGACGATTTAACCCGTTTTTTTTTCTATCATCTACCTACTACAGTTCTAGACTAGTGGTTTGACCCGGATAGGCCTCACCGGGTCACCCGCGGGTGGGTCGGGTATCGGGTTGCAGTTATGTCAACCTGCGAGTACCTCCCGGAAATCGGGGTTAACGGTTCAACTAATAAATACTATGGTTTGTTATAGTTGTAAGTAGCGAGAGGGTTTATAGATAGTGATTTAGCAATTCGAAAGAGTGCGTAATGTAGTTTATAGAATCAAAATAAAGAGTGTCTTTTTATTAAAAGTATATATATTAATAACCAAATGCTATGGCAAGCATGCCTACACAAAACTTGTCCCTTATAGTACTATAATTGAAACATACACTACAACCGGCACATGTGGCATATTGATTTTCTTTTTCGAGACAATTTCCCAAGCAAAGCTCTGGCATTTACCGTTCCACCGATGTAATTTTCACTCCCAATGTTGCTGTTGATGGCCGTAATTGTTGAATTGTTTAAGTGAACACCGACTTTAACTGGTTTATTGTGATTTTTCTCCCAATCTCGCGCCAATTTATAATCTGGCCCAGGCTGGCTATTCTAGAAAAAAAAGAATCATTAATAATATGCTTAACATGCTTCTGAATTTCCCATCTGATCTTTGCATCCTACTACGTCAACTCAAAGTCTTGAACGTCAGCCAATCTCAAAGATTTTCTGCGCCCCAGTAGGGCCAATGCCGGGTCAACTCAAAGTCTTGAACGTCAGCCAATCTCAAAGATTTTCTGCGCCCCAACATTAGCTTCGTAGCTCATCTCAAAGACTTGAATAACACAAGGACTCAAGGTCCTTCCGCTACGCCACCAAAATTTTTTATTTATGTTTTTAGCCCCCAAAAAGAAACTTTCCTTTTTATAATTATCAAGCAACTCTTGTGCTCGTTCGCTCCTTTTGTCTTACTGAGTATAAACGATAGTCCTGAGGGACGTAAGGTAAACTTCCATTTTCTGATTAAATTCTTCTATGCCACATTCTTCCGCTTATTCATCATTTCAACCAAATATAAATCGATTTTTGATTTTTTACGTTACACCTGATCTAGCCAATCAAAAGTCGTAATTTGTGGACACACGCCATTTAAGGTCCAAAGGACAAGCAAATGTTTGTTTTTATCAATCAACCAATCAAAACCCTTAATTTGCGGACACACTCTTCAAACATCACTATAGGTAAGAAATTCAGTCATGTGTTTTTTTTGCCAAATTTAACACTATCCATATCGATATGTAAAGTTATTTAAACATCACTGATTCGGAGATATCATATGTTGGTCTCGTGATGGTTCGAGACAAAAGCTGCTTCGATACTTACGTATCGAGCAGCTTTTTGTGATTTGCTACGGAAATACATTTGGGTGTTCCTTTCTGCTAATCGAGCATCAACATATCAATTTTTTTAAATAGTATCCATATATTACTAGGCAATGCGTTGTCCGGAGCTATCATGTGAGTGATCATATTATATTTAACCAATCAGCATCACGGAAACGAACAGACGGAAATTGTAAAGTTACGTTTTTGATATTTTGATCTACAATGCATCAAAAACAAAATTTTGGTATCACTTTGCATAGACAATAAAAGTCCTTCGCTACGCTCCGGACAA